TAAGTGTTTAAAATTAAATTTAAATTACACTATAAAACGAGTGTAAAATATGTGAAGCTTTTTATCTTTTAATTAGCAAACACGATGACACATTTTGACCCAAAAACTATGTCAGCTAGAATTTACATCAAACACTTTAAAATGTTTTAAAACGAAAGATAGTTTTTTTTTAATATTTTATAAGTATGTTCTTATTTTTCTTGCCATCATCATTACCCTTTCCCTACGGAGGGTTGGCACAGTATGTACTACTTTTCCATAAATTTATCAGCCGTCATTTCTGATTCACCCCCTTCCTACTATCCTTTTTATCTGCCCTATTATTATGTCTATAATTTATTTAAAAAATTCATTTTCAATCTTCATTACTCTATATATACTGTGTCAAATAAAAAGCTATTTTCTCTGAATAAATTGCAAAAAAAAAGGTTTCGTCTAACTGACCGCGCTTTGTCACATCTGCGGCTTCACAGACGGACATTAGACTGCGGCCGGTGGCAGCTGCATACGATATTAATTACAACTCTAAAATACGAGTATGTACAGTGCTGTTTGTTGGTGGTGTTCCATTTTTAAATTTATACAGGTTTGAATATCTTATACGCCTTGTAACTTTAAATATCGGTTTTCTCTGTCATTTGCGTAACTCGTTACCATCTCTACCATTCTATTTGGAAAAATTGAGATAACAATATGATTTAATACTAGTGACCTGGCGATGGAATTTCAAGGTAATCGTTGATAAGTTTTGTACTAATTCGTATTCAACACTGTCAAAGGTATCAGAGTTATAGTGCATGTTACTTGTTTTATTATTTTATTCATTTATTGATAGCACACTCATTGGTTTTTATAAGAAGGACGGTTTATGTAACGAAATGTCAATTTTTCTGTAATTGCAACACCGCGAACGTAAGCGACTGTACCTGTTTTATAAACTCCACTTTTATATTCCATCAAAATGTCGTCATGTAAGAACTACGTCGTGATGCTTTTGATTTTAAAAGTTATAAAAACATTTGTGCTTAAAATATAATAATATTAAAAATAATTAATATTACATATGTCATAGACCTTAAAGATTATAGTTATAATTTTTGGAATACAAATTTAATATAAAATATTTAAATTACATAATTGAATCATTAGTTATTTTGATTGAAGATTAAAAAAAGTATACGACAAACGAGATCTCTTCCATGTCACATATTTTCTACAATTAATCAATTTCCAGTTCACTAAATGGAAGAACGAATTAATTTATACGTATTGGCTTCACATAATTTAATAGGTTTCTATAAAATTCAAATAAATAAAATTTATTTATATATTTTTTGATATTGATAGATTGATATCATGATGTTATTACTCTTGTTAATAGTTAAAGAGAATCAGCTTTTGTAAACTTTAACTTTAAATTACTTCCAAATACTTTCGCACTCATAGTCTTCTGGGACGCAGGTTGTTACCCAAGACAGAACTTAGGTAAATTTATTACGAGAAATCTGAGCTAAGTGATTCCGTAGAAATTTATTTATAATTTAAGTAAGGCATAAACAACTATAATACATAACTCGCGCCTGTAGGGGTAGGTAGAGATTACGGAACTCCATTTGACGCGGTCTTCAAACCTCTCTCGCTTTTAAGGCATTTCAGAAATTAGAGACTGAAACAAATTTTATTACATTATACAAACTTTTGTGAGACATTATCTTAAAATAATATTAAAACGGCTAAAATACTCACGTATATTCGTCCGGTGTCCACGAAATAATACCAGTTCCATTCACCCTGATAAAAGGCCCCCGACGGGCTCGAAAAAAGTCGGTGCCAACACCAGACGAACAAACATGAATGTTTCAGCCGTTTATAATTAGTTTATGAAACAAATGACTTCCGAAATAGAACATTTCGTAAATGAAAAGTATTAATAGTATGAATACAAAGGAAAGTATACAATGTATTCCAAGAGGCCCATATTTCCACGAGGTGATAATTAATCATGGCCCCAATCTGACAGAACAAAGGCTAAGGCTTTATTCGGGCAGCGATAGGTTGGTACCCATGTTATTACCTAACACATATGCTGTGATGTCTGCAAAATTAATTTAGATGAACTGTTTGACTATTCTTCTAAACAAAACGTTTTTTTATTCTTATAAAAGATATCAGTGGTAGAGCTCACTTTAACATCTTCGCACGAATAGATCCGACTCGTCCGGTGAAATACCATGACCACACATACGACAGGCGTGAAGTGGATGCAATTCCGCGTTTCGTCTGATGAGTCGCACACTCCCGGAGGTCTAATTTGAGCCCACTTTCCCTGCCCATTTTTTTAAAGGAAAGGATGGGAAGTGGATGTGGACTTTCCTAGTGAGGGAATGCATGGGAAGGGAATACTATGTACGAGTATTTTTTTCTGTGCATCCCCAACTCCGTTGATTAAAGGAAGGCAACGCATATGCGCATGTCTATGGGCAACGGTCACTTCACTATTATATCGATAGTAAAAAAAAAGAATGAAGTAAACAAAAACAAAAACGTAAACAAAACAAAATTGAACGTCACCCCGCTAAGTATTCCTATATATTTCAACCACCTTATTACAAAAGGTTATTTGCTTGTGAAAGCGTGTCTCTTTGTTGAGTTATAATTTATTGCCTTTTTCCGCGTCGTTTTACCTGTTTACACAAATATATCACGCGTTGACTGTTTAACGCTTATTTTGATACATATCGTCATCTCTTTCATTATCTTTGAATAAAACAAGGACAACAGTATGTTTTATACGTGTCTTTGCAGTCAAAACTCAGGTCTATTACGTTGTTTCGCGATTCTACGCATCAGAGTTACTGTTAACTTGTTCGAATGTTTTACTAACGAGTGATATGTTTTTCATCATCATCAGCTCACTATACGTCCCCACTGTGGAGCTCGGAGCCAACCCTAAGTTAAGGGTGATTAGGGGTGACTTCACACATATCATTGAATTTCTTCTCTGATATGTGCAGGTTGTATCATGATGTTTTCCTTCACCGTAAGAACGTCGGATAAATGTACGTATGTAAAGCAGAAATCGAAAAACACATTGGTACATGGTGGGATTCGAACCCATGACCTGCAGATTGCAAGTCAAGTGCTTGACCCCTGAGACACCGACGCTCTATATATGTATAATGTTTTTGCTTTAACGATATTGCGTAGTTTTCTTATTTGAAAATATTATCAAAGTTCAATTTATGTTATCATTTAATAATGGTAGAGTCCATCTGTTTGTTGTACGATTAGAACACACATGGAAATCTAAATTAAAAGATATGTTGTTGTCTGTTAGTAAACGTCCCACATACCGTGGGTTACTATGACCAAGATCATCGATTGTCAGTGTACTGGCACAACACTAGCCTTACTAAAATGTCGACGTTTATGTCCCCTCACTAATCATTCTGACACTGGACTTTATAACGAAAACACGTCATTCGCGTTAAAGGATTCTATTATAACTAATATAATAATGTCTATAAATTGTCATCTCTGTTTTTAGAGATAATAACAGGTATGGCGATATGTATGATACAGAGGTTTTGGTTTCAGAAACCAATGGTGAGAGGTCCCAGTTTATTTTATAACAGTGGTAGAGCCCGCAACAGTGGTTGAGCCCGCTTTAACATCTTCGCACGAATTGGCCCGGTTCGCCCGGTGAAATACCACGACCACACAGAAGACAGGCCTCAAGTGGAAGCAATTCCGCGTTTCGTCTGATGAGTGTGCGTCCTCCGGGCCTAATTTAGTCCACTTTCCCTTCCCACCCTTTTTCTTATAAGGAAAGGATGGAAGTGAAAGTGGACTTTCCTGATGAGGGGATGCCTGGAAAGGGAAAATATTTTCTTTCTGTGCATCCTCTCCTCCGTCGAATAAAGGTAGGCAACGCATATGCAATTGCGTATGTCTATGGGCAACTTCGCTATTTCAGCGATTTCAGGTGACCGCTTGCTCGTTTGCCACCTTATGATATAAAAAAAAACATATTTGTATTTTTTTGCGAATATTTACACATCGCTTCACGATGTTTTCCAATACCGGAATGCATTAAAACACATGGTGATGAATAAAATCAAATTGTAGTAATCCAAATCATTTATTCCTTTTATTTACAATTTATCACAAACCAGCAGCCCTAATTGACTTAGGTACGTTTATTTAATATCTTACAAATAACTTTAAATGCATCAGTTTATTATTTACATAGAGTACTTTAAATAAATAAAAATTAAAAACTTTGGCATATAATATTCATCTTAAGACGTTTTGACTAGAATAAAATTATATTTAGGATGATTTAGTTAGGAATGTATAATAATAATAATAATAAATCTTTAATTCAGACACATGGTCCATACAAAACAAAAATATAAATTTGAACACTAGCACAAAAATAAAACATAAAATTCTTCAGGGCACATGTAGACGTGTCCATGTGGCCAGCACTGGACAGTCCAATCCCACTCTATCAACAATGAGTTGCAGGTAGCTGTTGGTGCTGTCCCGCACCCGCTGCAAATAATACTTCGACTGGATTCGACTTATTCTTGAAGTTTAATCAGTTACTTCATTATGTTTATTAGATGCCGCTAAAAATTTAAGTATTCAAACTTGTTTGTTTTGTGAATTATTAAAGTCTACTCTATCTTTAAGTAAATATTAATCGAAATCGAAAACGCAAATATTTGCTTAAACTACGACCCACAAAATTAAGTCAGGGTTTCAATTGTTTTTCTACAAATACAAAGGCTATTATAAAATTACATAATAAAATATGCGTGCAAATTAAAGAGACATAAATTCACAAAGAATTATATAACACCTGTATACTTTACAATTCGAAACATAGAGAATAAATTGTGCATACCGTAACAGACTGTGCTTTGTAATTTCTATTTACATACCAAACTTAATGATGTAACTACAATTGATATTGAACTTTATCCAGTTGTCATTTAGCGTTTATTTCGTTTGCATTTCTTGAAAGTAAGTCTCCAAAATGCTAGTCTAAAGTCTGGCGAATAAAATGCATATATAAATGGATTGATTGCTGAATTAAACCATCCTAACCACGTAAGTATATACATTAATACTGGATTTACGTATTTTATTGATATAAATGGTGTTAGAATATAATATAAGAAAAATGGTAACCAACATGCAACGAATCCACCGACAACTAAACTTAATGTTTGAGCTGTTTTAGTCTCTCTTCTTAAAGAAGACACTCTATTGTTGTCAATATGATCTTTAGTAGAATGATTTCTATGACGTCCAGTATTTTTATATTTAAAATTAGCCTTAAATGTAACTTCATTGTAAAATCTAGATTCTCTTTCTTTGTTATCTCTATAGTTCTTTGTTTGTCTTGATTTCTTAGCGGCGTTGAAACAACACGGACATTTCGGTTCAGATAGTGTTGAACAATCACTTTGCTGGTTTGAATTCCTTGAAGGTTGTTTAGATGCACTTTGTCTTAATGATAACTTGTCTGAACCTGAATCTGATTCTGATTTTATGCAAGATAACTTTCCTTTCTGTAACAAACATGAGTTATAAAAAAATATATCTTTCGGCCTCACCATTTTGGGGACTATGCAACACTCCCTAGATTTAAGTCATGATTTTTTTTTATCTTAGAAAAAAGTATGCATAAGGTTATTAAAGTACATTTGTAACTGTTCTTGAAATCAAACATTTAGAAGTCAAAAGACATAGAAATTATTAATTTAGATTTAACCTAAACGAGACTAACGATTAACACATTCAGTGCCAACTGGCGAGTTCATTGTCATACAAAAAAAACATTGAACATGATATTAGAAAAAAAAATTACCTTGCTACATTTATTAGTACTGGCTAACTGTTGATGTCGTCTTGCTACTACGCAAGATATTCTTGCGTACACATATACCATGACAGCCATAGGCAGAAAGAACGAGCCCATAGCTGAGAAAACAACGTATCCCGGATTCTGATTGTACCGGCACACACCTCCTTGATTATGGTCTGGTTCATACCTGTGGAATAAAACATTGCTTAATTGTAATAACCTAAAAATTTGTAACAGTGTCTTTCGGTAACTCCCCCCCCCCCATTTATCGCATTAAAAAGTAGTCTATATCCTTTCTTAGACTCTAGACTATCTGGATACCAAACTTCATTTCAATCCGTTTAGTAGTTTTGGCGTGAATGTGCCACAAACAAACAGAGTTACTTGCATATTCATAACATTGCTCTGGATTTATATAAATATACTATTCGTGATTATTTCGGTCATATTTTTTGTAAATAAAGTGATGTATGTGCTCAATTTCGTTCGAATTAAACACAAACAACGTATGTTGAAATGGTTTCCTCTACGAAAACATATTGTTATCCTTTTTATTCTCTTATAAAATACAGAGACAACAAGATATTTATGCAGGTCTAATAGTTGGAAGCTACTGGGATAAGTTATTTCTTCTTTTCTTACCATCCAAACATAGGTGGACAAGTGATCGCTCCTGCGGAAACCCACACGAAGAATATCATAGTAAGTGCTAGTTTCTTAGATCTTCGTCTCCTCGAATACGTCAATGGCCGTGTCACTGCCAGATATCGGTCGACACTGATCGCACAGAGAGACAGGATTGATGCGGTGCATAGCAATATATCTAAGCTTATCCAAATGTCGCACAGAATCCAACCCAGTTCCCATTTACCTAGGGAGAAACGAAGTCATATTTAAATATTAACAAAGTATAATTTGATAAATACAATGACATTATACGTTAATAGTGTCATAATAAAAACAAAATATATTTAAAAAAGCAAACGTTTAACAACGCAATGCTCAACCAAGGCATTATTGATGGCGCAATTTCATTAGTCGATAACTCGGTGGTTTACAGCGTGTGGAGAGTCCCCGTATACGGGCTACTTATTAACGGAAATGATCACTCGATGCGAGCAACGTGCGGGATTCAGTTAACAAGTATAATGCGTGGTAAGAAAAAGTAAGGACTATCGCAATGCAAAGGACTTAAGAAAACGGTTATCGTATGGAAGCACTACGACATGCTTGAATAAGAAATCTCTTGCGCCACGCATATGCGTTAATACTTGAAACTGCGCCCTTAGGAATATTTATAACATAATAAAAGATAGTAATAACTAATTCAGGAAATGAAGAAAAAAAATAAGATTAAATTTGTGCTATTGTTAGACAAAGGAAAACAAAATAATTCTTAAACATGATTATTTCACTGTAAAGAAGAAAATCCGACACTGTGCCGGTGTATCGGCGCAACACTAGCGTTAAAATGTTTATGTCCCCTCACTAATCAATCTGACACTAGACTTGGTAACGAAAGCGCGCCATTCATGCCAAATGATTCTAACTAATACTGTCTAAAATTACTTACCAGTAATATGTACAGCAATCGCTGGTGGCATTACAAAAATGCCTACAAGGAGATCGGCAACAGCTAAACTGGTAACAAAACAATTGGTTACCGTCCTTAATCTCTTCGTAGTAACTACTGCTGATATTATCAAAGTATTACCAATTACTGTTACTACTATTAATAAAAATAATATTATTACAACAGCGATTTCAAGATTATCGTATTCATTTTCATTACAAATAAAATCTGTTATGTTTGTATTATAACTATTATTGCAAATACCATTTGCTAATTTCCTTTCATCTACGTTTGTTATAATTTCGTAAATGTTTTTCGTTATATTTTCGTTTTCTTCTCCTGTATTTTCTATATGTATTTCTGCTTCTATATTTTGGGTTTCGTTCCATTTTATATTTTTTATTCTATCCAAATGTGATACGGATATCATGTGACTATATTCTTCTTTTCACGTTATGTTGATCGATTGACATTTTCTGCAACAAGTTTTTGGATTTAATAAATTTAAAACTGTATCAATTCTTTGCAGTTCAATTTTAATTTTTGATTTTTATCATAATCATCAAACGTAGCTTTAATGTAGCTGAAATGCGTATGCTAAGAATGATTTGTGGTTAAAAATGTGTATATTAGAGGAAGTTTGAAAGTAGCGCCAGTGATCGAGAAATTGAGGAGTAAAAGATTAGCGTGGTTCGGACATGTTATGCGGAGGGATGATGATGATGATGATGTAAGCAAAAAAGTGATGAGATTGAATGCGGATGGCTACAAAGGTAGAGGAAGACCAAAGAAACTATGGAATGACTGTTAGAGATGTATGGAGGAGTAGTACATACTGTGCCAACCCTCAATAGGGATAAGGGCAGGTTGATGATGATCAAACGTAGCTTTATATAAGACTGATTATTTTATCTGATGGATTTATTAGAACTGTTAGGAAGAAAATCCGACACTGTGCTGGTGTACTGACACAACACTAGCCTTACTAAAATATCGACGTTTATGTCCCCTCACTAATCATTCTGACACTTGACTTTGTAACGAAACAGCGCCATTCGCGCCAAAGGATTCTAATTAATAATGTCTAAAAGAAGTAATACCTAGAACAGCTGCATTAATCTCGCTGAAGAACACACAGGCTACACTATTAGATTTTTTATCCTGCTCAAACGAAGTTGTGGGCAAAACCTATTTTTTTAACAATTATTGGTATAAAACAAAAAATGAACGATAAGAATAACGATTTAGTGATGAAGCGAAATGTGTCGATCGGACATTTTCGAAGCAATAAACAGCCGTATATTTTTAAAAACTAAACATATAGGATTACAAAGTTTGTATTAACCTTGTTTTGATATGACGAGGAAAGTTATCTTTTAATAACGTAAAGAGTTATAAAGTTCCAAGTCTCGTGTTAGTTTACTTTATTATTCTATTCACGTTTGTGTCGTAAAGGTGAAATGAAGTCATGTTTCTAAATGAAATATGTCACTCTGTGGAACATTTCTAATCCTGTATACATTTTAAATAAAAACACAGTCTAAGCCTACCAATGAAAAAATACATATTATATAATACAAAATTAAGTGTCATACATTGCAAAATCGCATTGGCGAAACAAAGATTATGGTAACACTGAAGCATAAATTCAATATGACGGTAGCTAAAAAGAAGGTACATCGCACTTGAAGTTCGGACGTCAAACAGCACCTTTGTGTTCATAAGTGCTTAACTAAGTGCATGTAAGTTCTTAAATACAAACGGGATGTTAAAAATTAGTTTTGATTTTTATTTAAAAAAAACTAAACTAGTATCTGCATCACGTAAAAGAATACATTGTTGTGATTTCTATAATATTTAAACGAATGTTTGGATGTATGTTTGTTAGAAGGTATCTCCCGAACGGCATGGCATGGATCTCGCTGAAATTTGGCATATATATAGAACATCGTCTGAAAGAACACATCACGCCTTTAGTCAATTAACTACGATTTATTAATTCAAAATTACTGGAGTATTTGTTGGAATTAATTACCGTATATTCATAATATATTTTTTTTAAAACAATAAAATGTTACCAGCCTATATTATTTTAGTAATTTCATTTGATTGATTCAACAAATTCACTTTATGACAGAATTGTATTTAGGTACTTAAATAACATTTTATCTCGACCACGCAGCCGCTTTTGTAGATTAACCTTTATAAGTTAAAGTTACATTTTCTCAGGAAATGTTGGAATGAAAGACTCAACACGCAACGAGGTAATCATAGTCCTTTACTAAAATACGTTTTGTTAATTGACCTGAATTCTAATAGATTGTGTCAAATTGGGTCTCGTATTTCTTATGGCAAAGTTTTAGAGACCCAAATGACTGTTATTTACAATATTAAGTGTTTACAAATTTAACATTTAAAAAGATTTTTGTATTTCTTTGTATGTAAGAGATGAAAGTTTATTACTTATTTGAAATTTGTTTTACAGGACTTTTTCTTAAATTTTTTTGTTGTAAATTTACGCTAAATGACTGTAATAACAAAATAAATAAGGCATTCACTGATATCTAATCAATAGGTTTATTTTCTGACTCCTGATGAGCGTTAGTGGCTCAGGGTTCAAGCACTTGCAATCTGCATCCAGTCCGAATCCAGCTATGTACCAATGTATTTTTCCATTTCCGATTTACATATGTACATATATCCAACGTTCTTATGGTGAAGGAAAGTAAGTGTGAAGTCAAACAACCCGCACTTGGCCAGCGTGGTTGACTATGGCCTAGTCACCCCTAACTTAGGGTAGGCTCCGAGCCCCTCATTGTGGTCGTCTAGTAAGCTGATGATGATGATTTTCTGATCCAGAGCTTTATTATCTGCTTGTATGAAACATATTTTATCTTTGTAGGGTTCCGTACCACGAAAGAAAAAAGCGGAACCTTTATAAGATCACTTTATTGTCCGTCCGTCTGTCTGTCAAGACCCTTTTTCATATAAAAAGATGGCATACGAGATAGCGACCAAGTGACCGCTGATAGATATCCTCAATTGAAAATGCGTTGCCTACCATTAATCCACAGAGGAGAGGATGTACAAAAAAAGAATATTTCCTTTCCTTTGCGACCTCTCATCCGTCAAATCCTTTCCTCATAAGAAAAGGGTGGGAAAATAAAGAGGAGTAAAATTAGTCATCTCAATACTAATAATAAGCAAATATAGGAAATTTTCCGAATGTTATCACTGAAATACGCTACAAATATTCCCCATTTCAATATCACCATTCACGAAATGATTTAGAAACGCTCCTTTTTCACTTTTATTACAGATTCACTCGATAAAAGATTGCTTGAGTAGAAATTAATTTCGAACAATTCGGCATATTCGGTGAGAGTTTTATTGCAATTTTAAATCGGAATCTTTCAATATTATAGGTTCTTATTATTCTTCTTTTATACATATCATGTGTGTAATTAAAAGATCAAAGTAATTAAGACTGGCCTTGAGTAAAATAGGTTTTAATGAATCTTTAAACATGCAAACGATAAATAATAAATTAATTATCGAATATAATCACTATTTGTCGCAGATAAATTAAATTGGTGTACATATTATTATTAAATTGTTTTTTTTTTAATTTTAGACTGGTCGCTTATTAATCTAAAAACTGATCATGGATTAACATGTTGAAATCAACTCAAATTTCTATTTAAGATAAAAATATCTAATATGTTCAACAAACAATGTTTTATTATTTTTTATCATTTAAGACAAACAAATGTAAAACTCCGTATAGCGTTTAAGAAAATGGATGGATGTTTGTTTAAAGGTACAGAACGGTAGCATGAATATCGCTGAAATTTGACATAGATGTAAAACACAGTCTGAAATACATAGGCTACATTAAGTTATCTTATAATTTCGCGCGGACGCAGTCGTGGGCGACAGCTAGTAAAAAAATATATTTTTTTTAGTATTTTAGTAACAAAAATTACTGTGTTACAAAAAAACTAAAATAACTTGTATCACAAAGAATAAATAACGTATTATTTTTTTATTTTATTAAACGGCCTACGTAATATTGGACAATGTAAGATCACCCTCTAATCCTAAATAAGCCGCCATCTTTGAACTGAAGAATAAATCTTTTTTATCCTCGCTTAACGAAGTTAAGGATGATAATGCAATAAAAAATTCTAGTAGCCTTTGTTGGTATAAAAATTACTAGTAAAAAAGAGGGATTTTTCGAAACAACCTTTAGTTATTATGGTAAAAGTTTATACGCTTAGTCTAAAATCCATTAAAAAAATCTCCCTATTTAAATATATAGCACACAAAATTCTAAAAGCCCAAATATTTATTTTGCTCAAATAATTACAATATTTGCGTAGGATCCGTCAAAACTTAATAAAGGAAAATGTTTTTAGTATATTTAAGATTGAAATTCTTTGATCTTACAATATCCAAAACCATTGAAGATAGGCAGATCTCTTAAATGAAGACTTTGATGTATTGACAGCAACTCAATAAGAAAAAACAAATATTTAATACTTTATCGGATATTAAGCTACGGTTTTAATATCTCTTTTCATTATAATAATCCAATATGATTTTAATTTTATTCTCGACTATTTTCTTAATAACCTACGTAATGTAGATCTTTTTATGACTAGTATTCCAAAGTTCACGCTTATCTTATTTTATTTAATTAAGTTTTCATACTAAAGGTGCGTACACACTGGTGAAATGTAACATGAAATGTATCATGAAATGAAAAAAAATTCCGTACAAATTGCTACAATGAATCATAAAAGGTAAAAACTAATGCTTACTTGGGTTTGCTCCAAGTTGCGCGCGAATCGAACAGAATGATACATTTTATGTTACATTTCACTAGTGTATACACACCCTTAACTGTCGCGTGTATGACGCGACATTCTCGAGATTTTGTGTACACGGTGCAAATAATGCATTCGCATTTAGATCTACGTACATTTTTTATTTAATGTTTGTTTTTTATTAGTTGAAAAATTCCCGAGAACTTATGAACTTCAAGTAGTTACAGTACTTATAAAAATGTTACATTTTTAAAAACATGTAACAGTAATTGCGTATTTATTATGTAATTTTATTATTGTACAAGTCAAAACTCTAAATTTACTGAAGTATTTTATATAATTAACATTTAAAAAATTAACTAACACAGGCTAAAATATCAATCTTCGTAATAATATTTACTCGTATTTTTATAAAGAACTGGCTGCCACACGGGACTCGGTCCGCACGAAATTAAAAAAAATAGTTAGTAGCCTATGTGTTCTTCCTTACTATGTTCTACATTTATGTCAAATTTCAGCGAGATCTATGCAACCGTTCTGGAGATATCTTCAAACAAATATCCATCTATCCATCTGTAAGGTAAGGGGCTAATTTCAAGACGTATCAACTATCGTCTGCAATAAAAATAAAAATGCAAATG